CTAACATAAACGAACTTAAACAATTTTATCGATCATCACGTGATCGAGAAAAATTTGTTGGCGATACTGGGGAAGATCGGCTTTAGACGTTCCCCTTTTTTGGGTTTGTATCACTCGCACGCGGGTAGTTCAACGTGCAATAAAACTTCACGTGAATACAAGGATCCCCTTTTGGCCATTTTTTTCCAGCAAAATCTTAGATAATCAAGTGGACTTTAAAATAAAATTTTTTGATCACGTTGCAGCAATTTGTTTTGATTGGCTAATCAACAAAAACTTTGATTGGCCAAAATTAACCAAGGATTTGATTTTGTGAAACGATTGATTTTTAATCTTCTTATCTTGCTCACGTGAAATTCGAAACATCTATTCAAAAGAAATATGATTTTTACATTCATTACGGTAATTTTCGAAAATCTCTTCCAAATTGACATCGTCTACTATCAACGCATCACTTTCCACTTGTCCCGCCATGGACTCTACCGCTTTCCGCAAATAATCATCCGTACCATTAGTTATATTATAACTATCATTATCGTTTTGTATTTCTTGATAATTTTTATTTGTTGGTGTTTGTGGCCGAGCCTCTGTAAATTGAAAAGCAGCTACATGCGGAGGAATGACTTGAACAATGTTGTTGCCTGCCATTTATATGAAAATTTTAGTGATAAATTTAATAATGTTAGCAAATAGTTTGAGTCAAACATATGCAAGTTTGTGTATCAAATTCTGCTTCAGAATAATTCTGTATTCCTTTTTGCGCTACTTTGAGTCCTTCTTGCGTTATCTGGTGAACGTCTCGCCTTCCTTCTTTCTGTTGTAACAAAGTTCGACATGACTAAGTAAGAGGCCGTTGGATGCATCGGAAAACCAATGGACCTACCTGATCAATTTCCAATTTCAAATCGACTATGTCAGACACTACCTTTAACGAAGAAATTTGATTTATTCCTTCCCAAATTTTGTCATTCTGGGTATTATCATTCTGACATTAAAAAAAAAAATAAAAAAAAAAAATAAAATAAATAAATAAGTAAATGATATGATTTTGGAATAACAGGTAGGGAAAAGGTTTACAAAGTGCCACGGACACTCGTTCCGACCAACGTTTTCATGCCCACGCACTAGCGGTGCTACCCGTCGGTTTTTACCAGCGCTAAAAACCTTCTCAACCAGCGGTTGCCGGATTAGACATGAAGTACGTCAGTTGCGTTTCAATAGCCGCGCACCAGCGGTGCTACCTGTCGGTTTTTACCAGTGCTAAAAACCTTCTCAACCAGCGGTTGCCAGATTAGCTATTGAGTACGCTGGCACTACTACAAAGTTAATTACTTTCCTTTAATTCGTTCTGTATGTTGCAAATAATTTTATCAGCAGGATTCGTAGGATCAAATATTTTCTTTAGAATTTTCAGTTCTTCTGATAAAGCTGAGTGAGAATTGCATTTATTAAGTAGTACACGTTGTGGTTGGGCAGTCCAGTAAACATCCCAATCATTTATGTTCCCCATGTGTTCGGATCTCTATCCCAGTAATCTATTGGCCAAAATTTTATTATATTGTTCTAATTATGAAAATAAGAACAGATATGATAGCAGTAGACTAACCTGGGTACCTCAACTTGTTACGATCTTCACTTAAAAAGTATCCCATGTCGAAAAAACTAAAGCAGCGTTATACCGCGCCTTTTAATATGAGTTGGTGGAACGCGCAACGTGAAGCATTGGGGTTGCGCCTTAACTAAGTAAATCAAAACTATATATAGTATCATATAAAAATTTGGTATAAATTTTTTTCGTGTAACAATTAAATCACCACGTCAAATTGTAAAATTGCTTATATGATTTGTATATACCCATTGATAAGTATATAACAAAAATAGATGCACAGCTCTAACCATACCGTAATTCAAAGTAATATTTTGGAAGAATTAATATTTAGTCTCTACGAGAAAAGTTACGAAGCAGTTTTTTATATTTAAATATAAAAAAAAAACTTACAATCGGCTTAAATTCAGTATTTTAATATTGATAAATCAAAATATATTAAAAATAATGGATTTGGAATACATGTTCATAATATTATATAAAAGAAAGCTTCGTAACTTTGTAATGATATTGTGTAAGAAACATTTAATTTTTAGGAAACTTTGAAAAAGAAAAAGATTCGATCTGTGCATCTAAAAGAAAATTACGTTAATTTCATATTTATTTCGTAATTATGTATGATTTTCGAAATAATCAAATTTTACTTATTAAAAATATTTTAATAATTAAATGATAAGGTGACCTGATATAGATTTGATTTACTTAGTTGAGGCATAACCCACACTCAAAAAAATTTTAATACGTAGTTAATTATACTTTTGCTTTTATGAAAATTTTATTAACATCGTATGAAAATTGATACGCATATTAGTGCAGCCCAGAGTTTTGAACCGGATTCAACCTTCGGATTCAGAATCTACTGAATCTGCAATATTCACATTGTCTGTACAAACGCATAACAAAGAGATGTTTTGCATCTACTATATATTTTTATTAAATTTTTTAAGTTTTGAATATAAAATTTTTAACACAAATTCTTACTGAGCATTTTTACTTAGAACACCTCACACCGTTTAATCAGCCAGTTTTTGAGATAATGCACGCATAGGTGTAAAACTCCATAGGTGCATTTTAGTAATATTCGAGAACAAAGTATTCGACCACCTATAGAAATTCTACGTATAACGATAAGTTTTTTAGTATCTGGTATGCACGTACGTACGTACCAGAGCCAGTGGATTTTAGTAGCATCTAAAATAGCGCTATTTTTTAGCCAAATAGCTAGCAACATTGTTTGTGCTAAGATGCTAAATTTTGCTACTTTTGTACTAAACATGTGACTATTACTTTTGTTCTTAAACTGATTTATATAAGCAAATAATTATATGCATTTCTTAACTGATGACTAGAGAACTTACTGGAATGATATATTAAGAACTCATTAAGAACTCATTGAAGAACATATGATTATATTAGAATTTAGATTTGATAAACATAAATTTTTTAATAAGCTATTTTGCCAATTTTGCAAAATTTACTAGTTAATTTTGCTAGCTAGTTTTGCAGCTAGTTTTGCTAGCTAGTTTTGCTTCTAACAACCACTGGCTCTGGTATGTACAGTGCAAAAAATTTAAAAACTTCATCTCCCTATATAGAGATAATGCATAAACTAGTGACATATTGAAAATAAATTTCTTAAATTATTGATTTAAATAAATGGTTTAGAATCTTTTTGCATAGAGATAATTATGCCAAAAAACAAGATGTAACTATTATATGCATATGTAAATAAGCCACTATTAAGAATAGTATATTGACTTTTATTCATTGTGGTTTTTAGATTTCCTGCACCATATATACAGTACATATTCTTGGTGATAAAAATTCGATTATTTAAGCATTGGGAAATTTTTAAATAGGATGAATATCGATTACCAGCTACAGGAGTGATTGTAATTGATTAGAAAAATCGATAATAATTGATATTGATTATTAATTGATATACAATTGATAAAAAATAATCGATTTTAATTCGGTTTGATATTAATTGATTTACAATTAAGCAATACTAATCAATATTAATTGATCTTAATCAATTTTAATCAGAAATAATTGATTCTAATCTGTATTACTAGCAATCAGCAGGGGTGCTACTTATTGATTAACATTTCCGTCTGTCAATCGATTGGCAACCAATTTAAAAATTTCCTAATGAGTTAATATAAAACAATTATTAATTATATATATAGTTAATAATAATTAATAATAATTAATAATTTCAGTAATTAAAAATTGTTATGCAAGCATTTTAATAACTGTATATATATGTAATTGTTTGGGTTAGAATCCAGACAAACTATTCTGACAACCAAATATTAAAAAAAATTTAGCTAATACTAACCTAATATGGGTGAGCTTGTTAGGATATTGGCTAATGAATGTCTTACAGTTGTTGGTTATTAACACGGAAATTAAATTCTAATAATGTTTATGTATGCCAAAGACACAGAATTTATATAATAAGAATTTGTAAATTATATATACAGTATATATATGAAATATTCGACATACTGATTAAAAATTAGGATTTTACTAAAACACATCTATGGTGTTATATTATCTCAAAAACTGGTTAATTAATTAGTGTAAGGTATTCTAAGTAAAAATGGCTATACTCCCAAAAACTTATTTCAAAACCTAATTCTAACCTTAATATTTTTTTTTTTGAATATTAATGGTGAGACCATGTCTCTGTCTTTATTGAAATTTAATTAAAATCGTTTATACAGAAAAGAATTACAACTTAAACTTCATATCTAACAATAGCAAGAAAAGAAACTCAGACTAGTTTATCTGCGGTCTAAACCAACTAGGGTGGCCATGACTCACCTAGATTTGTAGATTAGAAATTAAATATATTGGATTTATTTGGTACCTAATCCATAAAGCATACCAAAGTTTTAATTTAAAGCAAGCTAAATCTAAAGATAAATTTTGAGAAGATTGAGAAAATAAAGAATTATAAGAAGAGGATGAAGAAGATGCAATATTATCAGTAGGTTGAATCTGAAAGCAAGAAATACAATACAGTATCCAAATATTATGGTAAATTTGTGAATTAAGATATAAAAGAAATTTTTGATAGTAATTGTAGAAGCAATTTTTGCAAAAGGTGTAAAGTCTTTAAGTAGATTAATAATATCTCTAAATACAAGACCAGACAAGGTAGAGTTAATTAATAGAGCACAGTGATTATGAAATATCATACTGTCTAGGTTTTTAATTTGATTATAAAGTATAACAATCTCTTCAGATAAAGTATCAAATGATATTGAATTGAGGACATGTTGTAGAGAACTGTCTATTAAATTATAAATAAGTTGAGGTAATGAGTATGTAATCCAATGTAGTAGAGTACTTATTTGATTACATTGGTAACAATTTGGTATAAGTTGGTGCTTCCATTGATATAAAATATAAGAAGTAAACAGTTTCTCCAAATGAATTTTTACTCGAAATGATTTAAGAGTAGATGATTGAAAACTATGTGAATAGTTTAAAATTTTTGATTATTGTTTATATATAGCCAGATTGCAGGCCAGTTAATATAAGTAGTAATTTGTGATCATTGTTAGAATCTGTGTTGAGATGACCATAGAGCATAAATGTGAGCATGACAAATAGTACAAATAGAATGTTGAATCGGTAACTCCAAAGGATATTCATCAAGTAGAAGAATATAGTTTAGATTGTAGATATTATAAGGTTTGAAAGTAAGGTAGTCTAAAGTAAGGTGGCAGTGGGCGAGTTGATCAGCAAGATTATTAAAATGATTGTCCTGCTATACAGTCACTTTGTAAAATCTAATTTGAAGATTATAGGCTTAAATAAAGTTAATAAAAGTATGCCAAAGCATAGAATATGGAGAGTTTATAAAAGATAATGAATAAGGTAATTATATAAGACTATTATATCTGGAGATAACAAATTGTGAGTCTGTAAAAATGTACACAGTACAGGATTTGGGTACAGTACTAATTGCTGATAATATAGCAATAAGCTCTGCTTTGAAAGAATATAGCCAGTATTTAATTTGTGCTTAGAATTTATGTATTATATTGTCCTGTAAGGTTTGTACCCATCCAATACCCATAGAACAGTTTGGTGAGCCAAGATCCAACACAGAGCCATCTATATAGAAAGTAATTTCAGAAAGATGTGAATTAAAGTTTGCAATAGTTTGTAAAGTATTAGTAAGTAATCCAGATTCAAATATAGATAGAATTGAAGAAGCATTATAAAAAATATTAAAAGCAGATAGGATATGAAAAGGATGGCAAATAGCAATTGAATATATCAAATTAAGAAGTTAGTATAGGGTTTGATAGTTTTATTTTAAGAATTATAAGTACAAAAAAATTTAGATGCAATATTAATTAGAATGAAAAGTATACAGGTATTAGCAATAAGGTTTGAATTAAGAGAACAGCCAGAACAAGGAGTAATATTAATAGGAGGAGTAGAATATAATTTAGTAAATTGTGATTGAAAAAAGCATTGTCAGTGTGTTATAAGTACAAAACTAGTTGAGGTAATCTGTCTTCTGGCTTTGCCAATAACTATCTGATTTTCAGTAGTAGTAATAAGCTATGGTTTTGATCTTAAAGAAAAGTGTCCAGTAGTATAACTAAAATAGTTATTATCAGGAAGATTGTAGTGATCATAAAGTGTTCTATTAGATTCATGATTAGTTACTTTATTTTCAAGAGTTATGAACCATAATGGTTTTCTTCTTTGAGGAATTTTATAAAGTCTGGATGCAATATGCTCTCAGCTAAAAAGGCAAGAGTTGTTGAATGTTGTAAGTTGATCTAAATATAAAATATAGTGTTTGCGAAGTTGTTGCTTAAAAATACTATAGTTAGAATGTGATAATAATATAGATTCAAGAGATATTGAACCTT